ACTGGTTCCTCACCAGTACAGCTGTGCTATCAGACATTCCCTGCACAGACCTTGTTGCACTAAAAATACCCCAAACCTCAGACAGTTTCACCCATGAGAGGAATAGCTTTATTACATGAGTGCAAAGCACAGACATTTTGTAAAGCCTTGAGTAGCCAAAACCTCTGGCCTTGTGAAAAAAATGAGTTGTGATCTTGTACAACTAAGTTCAGAAATAGCCTCTTTGGTGGCATTAGCTTTGTTACCTTCTTCTACCTCTGCAGTTTGAAAATAGCTGTAGTTAAAAACTATTTAAAACTACTTGTCTTTAGATCAGTGTGGAGAGAGTGAGTTATGGTTTCATCAGTAATACTACCCATGCTTTAAGGGTTCCAGGTTGTATCCATTCCCAGTTTACACTGGGAGAGCTGAGGAGGTTAGATTTCCCAACTGGTTTTCTTGCATTTTCAGGGCTACATAGTTCACATGACATGCTGTGCAACTCTAGTGTTTTGTTTAAAGGTACCTTTTCACTAATTTAAAAGTAAATCAAAAGATGACTCAATTGCAGACCTTCTGTGGCATGAGCTCTTAAGGGTTTTTTTAAGTGCTGCTGCACAAGAGTGAGAACCAGGAAACTGGACTTCCTGTTTTGAAAGAAACAGCACATCAAAAAATGAGCAAAGCTACCTTATGTCATCAAAAACACTAGTGTAGAAAATTGCCTTTTCTGCTTTCAACCCTAGCAAAACTAGTGAAATAAAGAACAACATCCTCTTCAGTGGCTGGGTATTCAGTTTCACAAGTTAAAAGGCAGAGCTTAATATCCAGACAGATAAATGGCCATATCTGCTTGTAATTTGAAAACATTCTTTTGGGTTTATATGTAAATCCCTGCAGGACCTGTCTTACCAAGGGCTCCTCAGTTGAGATGTGTTCCATAGAGCCTTGGAGATCTTGTGTCTTTGATTAATAGTGTAATAAAATAGGTTTGGTCCATCTCTAATAAATGAAGACATATCACAGATTTAGACTGTTACACCTGTTGCCTTTGGTTTATAACCAAATCTGTTTCTTACAATGAGATGGAACATGGATAGCTCAAAGTTTTAAAGGGTCAGATAAAACTTTGTGCATCTGAAAACACAAATATACATTTAAAAACTGTAAAATCTTTAAGCATGCACTTGAGAATAAGATGCCAGGCAAGAAAGAAGATTGAGTAATATTTACCTAATTGTGTTATCCTATTACTGGCATGAACAATATTAAAAGGAGTCAGACTGCATTGTCTGAGAAGCACCTACAATTCTACAATTATTCTCTAGTGCAGTGAGCACCTGTTGGTAAAAACAACCCAGACAGGAACAAAACTACTACCACCAAACCAAACCCAAACCCACAAAAACCCCAGTGATAAACTATTGCATGCTCTGCTTCAGTCTCTAGCAGCTGCCTCATGAAGGTGGGAATAGGCAAACTCAGTTTCTCTTGCACATGTGGCTATTTAAAAGAACTTAAAATCTTTCCTTTTACTCAGGTCTAGAATTAACTCCAGTAACTGTGGTTTCATTCCTCAGTGGTTATATGTTACATGGATCTAACACTATTGCTGTGTGGTTTCAGTTCTGGTTTTGTTGGCTTTTTTTCATATTTCAAGTTGTTTTGAAATTACTCCCATGGTATTTTGGGTTTCAGCTTTCTAAATGTCATCCTGTTTATTCTGGACTGTAGTAAAACAGATCATATGGCAAAGCAGGACTGTTCTGCTTATCTGCTTTGTGGGGGTCATGAGACACACTAAGTGCTGAATTACACTATCTGTCTCTTCTTGAGTGACCAGAATTTCATACTCTTGATTATAGTATTTGGCTTAGTTATGGCACAAGCAGAAAAGGCTGTGGTAAATTCAGCAAACAAGGGTTATATGCAGGTAAAATGCAGTTACTCTGTATGTGCAAGTTATGGCACAAGCAGAAAAGGCTGTGATAAATTCAGCAAACAGGGGTTATATGCAGGTAAAATGCAGTTGCTCTGTATGTGCCTTGTGGAAAAATTTTTACCCATTTTGCTAAGTAAATGCAAGCTTATAATTTTTTGTTTCGTTGCACTGTTTAGCTTTTCATTTCATGTTGAAATGACATAGTAGATAGTTATTTTTTGTGAGTAATTATTAAAACATGCTGTATATTATGGGGACATTGAGAATTCAGCATGATTGGAATTTTGCCCCAATTTTTAACATGCTGTATGAACTCTGATGACAAAATTCCAGCATTATAATTATTTAAATGTTAGTATTAACGAGGCTCCCAAATCTGCTTGTTCTTACAAGGATGCTTGTACTGAAACCTGTAAAATACCTGCAAGCTATAAAGTTTGGATATACTTTAATGCATATGTTTATCTTTCCAGACCAACTAGTGCACCATAGAACTGAAATTTTCATCTCCTGCTGTAATTGCTTGTATTACTTCAGTCGTATATTCCATATTTTTAACAGCTAGTCGCAAAACTTTTTTCAAAAAAAGCAAGAATTGTTATAATGCTGCTTCTTCTTACATTTTGCTTGGGGTTTTCTTGGTGCTGTTTGCACTCCTGTGACACACCTGCCCCTCTCTCCCTCCTCACAGACGCACCTACGTGGGCAGTATGCCTGGCAGAATCATCAACGGCCTCAAGACTGTGGGGGTGAACAATCCTGTGTTCCTCTTGGATGAGGTGGATAAACTGGGAAAGAGCTTGCAAGGGGACCCTGCAGCAGCCTTGCTTGAGGTAAGAGGTGTTAATTTGCAAGCTCTGTTTCATTTGTATTCAAAAAGGAGTTAAGGTCCTGGATTCAGACTGGAAGATTCGCTGGACAAAAGGTTGACAGTGTCAGGTATCAGCCACTGAGTTTTGACATCCTTGGATTTCTGTCAGTTCCTTGGGCACAATTTAAGTCCTGTTAGGCTGTGTGATAAATCAGAGATCATAAATCTCAGTGAGCTGCACTTAAACACAAGAATGTATTTTGTGGCAAGTGCTTTGTAGATGTAAATACTGTTTGGTCCTTAAACGTTACTTATTTGAGGAACTTAAAGACATTGATTTCTAACCAAATGTTAGCTAAGAAAGAACTCTAAAGCATTCAGACAGTAGCTACTTTTTCAACTTTGTTTCTTGGAACAATTTTAGTATCTTTTTGAAGATTTGATGGTACCAGCTCATATTGGAATTAAGCGTTGTACTTAGCATGTAATATGGACTAGTTGTGTGTTCTTCTAGGAGCATTTCTGTAATTAGTGTTGTAATTAACTTCTTTGAATTCAAGTTTTTCCTTTAAGTCACAGATCCCCACTCCTTGACTGATTGTGGTGTGATGATAGCTTTCCATGAGAGTCAGTTTTTCCATGAGTGCATTTTTTTTGAAATTCTGGGACTCAGACTAAGACAGAAATGAATCTAATTTTGAAGTGCATGGTACAGTTATTTTATCACAAAGGTTTCAGAGGTCTTAAAGTTGACTTACTTAGAGACACAAGTAAAATCCAGGAGATACAATTAGGAACTCTGGTGAATGAGATACTGTTGGAATTTTTTGTCAGTCCCATCAAGTGTGGAGATGTTATTAATTAGGTTAGTTAGATTTTCAGGAGGCTAAAACTTGAGTGATTATGAAGAAGATTAATTGAGACCTGTGCTTTGCAAGCTTCACATATCATGTAGCAGAAAGCAGTAATGAGTTGTCAGAACCTTCTTTCTGACTTCTGTTTTCTGGAGTATGACACAATATCCCAGTACAATTTCTTCTTCCACTGAGGTGTCCATATTCAGTGCTTTTATTCTAGCAATTTGCTGAAGTGAGGAAGGAGCATCTCCTCAGGTATGGGGAAGACAGAGAGCATTGCCCTTCCCCAGCATCTTAGTGCAGAAGGTTGTACTGTTGCAGCTGAACTGCTTCTGTGGCTGTTCTTTACCTGTATCAGTCAAAAACCAGGAGCTGTGTTAGTGAAAAATACCCACAATTTTTGAGCTAGCCTGGCTTGCTTTCACTGAAGGGATTTAGGGCATAATCCTAGAAGCATCTCAGCTGTCAGACTTAAGGTGTGGTAACTTTGGCAGGTGGGGATGAAAGTGCTTCTGATAATATTTGCCAACAGAGTCACTCTAATAACTCTTTTGACTGACAGTGCTTAATACAGTGATTTAAATATGAAAAATGCTACTTAAATTAAGGTGTCATGAGCTCATCTCTGTGCTGTATGACATTCTGCAAGTGAACTGTCAATTGACATTCTGCAAACGTCATTATTTTCTTCCTGCTAGATAGTGTAAAATTACTGTTTTGACAGGGCCAAGTAGTTCTTTGAGAATCAGTGTACGAACAGGCTGTGGTTTGAGAGCTCTGTTTTGATCTTTGCCTGTTCACATGAGCTAGTAATGATTTAAATCTGCTAGATGATAGCATGGCTTCACTTCCTCAGCCTCTAGAAGTGACAGTTATGGTTCTTTACCTGGGACTTCTCAAGTGTGTAGTGCCCTCTGTTAGGGTGCAGGGAGAACAAGCATTCACATGCATTTTCTTTGTACTTTTCTCACTTGTGGGATTTTGTTTAGTCTTTGCTGTTAATGGTAATGAGCTCTGTTTCTGAGTTTGCTCATATTTCTTCTGTCCTGTCTCCTTGAGATATTTGAACTAAGCTGTCCTAGCTCTCTATAGTCAGTGCATGGATAAAATACCTGAAAATCAAATTTGGTCAGTTAGCTGACTGGTGATTGCTAGGCAAAATCAGTAACAATGCAATGATGTGGCACTTCTTGGAAAGAGTCCAATCATAAATCTAGATTTCTACATTAATATTGTTCATTTTATTCAACCTTTGCTGTTTCTTTTAGCTTATTTTTCATTCCCTGTCCTGTAGTAGAGAACAATTGTATTCTTATTTTATTATGTCAGGTGTGTGAGGGCAAATGAAATTAATTTATTTTTTAGTTAAGTTGTGCTTGAATTTTGGATACTTTGTCGCTCCTTTGAGATGTTTCTGGTTTCCATATTTTAAAACCACATTGTCAGTGATACTCAGCTCAGCTCCTGCCATGGATTTTTCCAGCTGAGGCTGCCCAGGTTACCTTCCAACCCTCTGCTTGGGCTGCAGTCTTTATGTAAGCCATTGCTAATTGAGCATTAGTTGCATCTGGAGAAGTAATTGCCCTATTAACCATGGCTGGACTCCTCCCCTGTGAGATCTGTATGTCCCTCTACTGCTGCCTCAACCTCCTGAAGTAGGTGCTTTACCTCTTCTAATGGAGAACTCATGTCTGGACATAATAGCTTAATTTTCATCTACTTTTTGTTGTTTACATTGTTGGAAAGTCCATCTGGAATGAGCAAAGGTGGCTATTATGTAGGAGAACAAACAGGAGTCAGTGGTCACCTAACTGGGACATTTGTTTTTCCCACTGCAGCTTCTTGTTTGGTAAGTGCCATCATTAAGTATAAAAGGCACATCTTTTTTTTTTTTTCCTTAATGTCTAGGTGTGTTAAATTCTCACTGTCTACAGTGGGATAATATTCAAGAAGAAAATTGCCATACCCTGTGAGTTTGGGAGCAAAGCTTGATGGTTTCTAATTGCCAGAGATGTGCTTAGTTCTAATGCCTCTGCAGAGCTGCTGCTAAAGGAAGACAGAATGTCTTCCTATTTCCAGTTAGTGTTCATCAACAAGGGAATATTTTAGTCTAAATTTAGATGACCTCTGTTAAAAGCAGAAGAAAACAGAAATGGATCCAAGTGCCTGATAGTGAGTATTTGTATGCAGGGAAATTAGCCCAGGAGCATAGCCAGGCAATTAAATGTTCATGGAACTTATTCTGGATTTTGTGCTAATAAAAAGCTGTTACAGAGGAGGCTTTGTATGCATGTGAGCTGTCAGCCATAAATCAGCCAAGATGTTTTGTGCACTGAATGTTCTTTTTGTACTTAATATTTTGGTATTAGCTGAATATCTTTGACAACTTTTGAACTTTAACTTTAGCACAGATACCTAATTGAAGAACAGTTCTGTTTGCTTTGGAAAATCTTGTTTTAAATGCATAAGCATGACATTGTTTTATGGCTTATTCTAAGAAATAGGACCTGAAACCATGACAGAGAGTCCAGAGAAACTCTGGCCCTTGTGAGAAGTCCCAGATAACATTTTTAGATATAAGCTGAGTTTTCTTGGATTCCAGTTTGCTTTACCTTTCTTGGATGGTTCTGTTTGCATATGAGTGCAACATCAGTATTTTGTGTATCTTTGTAAATAATAGGATAATATCCAGCTTGGCACTTAGTAGAATTCGTAAGGATTTCTACTTGCAGACTAGAAGGAGAAAGAAAGAATTGTGTGTAGGTAAATGTGATAAAATACCAGTTTGGTCTGTCAGAATACACTGGTTTTTGACAGCTTTGGAAGGAGTTGCAAATACTTCAACTGATAGACTGGAATTTTGTGGGAATACCATTATCAGGGTAAAAAAAAAAAAGAGAGAGGGAGAGTAAGTTGAATTAGGAGTTGCTGTTTAAATCAGTTTTGAAAAATTTGTAAGAGTAGAGTTTGAATGGGAGAATTATGTTTGGTATAGAATACTTTGGAGATAGTTTGTGGATGCTGTGCTTGGATTCTCTGCCTGTTGTTGTGTCTCCCTGTATTTTAGGGCTAGACTGTAGGGCTAGTTGAGGTAAGGGACATCTGTAACTGGTTGAATTATGCATCAGTGTACTTGGCTTCTCAGGGTACTTCAAGGCCTTTGCCTTCATTGGTAAGGAAGGGAGTACATGGCAGCAGCTGCTTGCTGAAGAGGGTAAGAAAAGCTTTTGAATAGCTTATAGCCAGTGAACAATGGCATTCACTGAGCCCCAGCCTTAGTTGTAGAGTGTAGGCATATGCTTCAGTATGTTTTAAGATTTCACTACTAAAGAGGATGTGTACCCTGTATTTCATTCCAGTTACAATACATTTCCAAATACTGCTCTTATATCTGTGCAGCACTTCAAAATAAAATCAGAATTTCCTCTGGTTTTGAAGATGTTCTGCTGTGTTTCTGGCATTCTGAAAAAAATTATTAGTTTGTTCTGGTCATAAAACATTTCTGTTCCAAAGATTTTTTTCAGAAAGCGTGAACAGAATTGAAGTGCAATGAAAATTCAGAATTGTTTCCTTTATAACTATCTAAGAAGTGCTCAAATTCAGCTTTTTTAGAATTACCAGCACTGTTGCTGGCTGTAATTCAAGTTGTGTGCTTTCATTCGGGTGTAGGCAGATGAATTGTTTTGACAGTGGTGTGCTATTTCTCAGGAGGTGCAGAGGTCCCATTGTGTGTAACATGAGAGTTGTTCATCTCAGTGGAGCAGGGATAACTCATCCTCTGGGAAGGAAAAGTGTGGCAGTACTTCCAGGGGGTGTGGAGCAAAGGTGTTTGATAGGTGATAGAGAAGCAAAGTATTCATTGCTCCATACCATGAACTTCCCTTTCATAGCAGTGTTAAAAGTCTACAAGACATCAGCTTAGTACCCTCATGATCCACATATGTGGAATATTTATCACCTAATGTGGGAAAACAGCTTATTCAATCAACAGTTTAAATATGTGCAAGTGTTGCATTAGCACACATAAAGAGCACAAAACAACACTTATTTAAGCTGTAGTTCTATTCATGCAGTAAATTTTTGGGGTTGGTCAAACTGTTGTTAATTTTTCTGTGCTTGTTTAGTTTTCTCGTTGTTTTAATCACAAAATTTGTGAAACAAAAATTTAAAGATTGTGTTAGGAAAGTCAGGGCTCAAGTTAGGTCAAGACATGCACAGGGTGTCATGGGCAATAAGAAGACTTTGTACTCCTCCATTAGCAGTAAAAGGCTGAACAAAGCTGGATGAGTGGGGCAAGTGGTTTAGTGATATAAAGCTGAGATTATATTTGGGGTTTTTTTCATAGAATCAACGAGGTTGGAAGAGACCTCCAAGATCAAGTCCAACCCTACCGTGGTCACTAGCCCATGGCACTAAGTGCCACATCCAGTCTCAGCTTGAAAACCTCCAGGGATGGTGAATCCACCGCCTCCCTGGGCAGTAAATTCCAATCCTGAGCACTCTCTCTGTAAAAAAAAAATCTCTTCCTAATATCTAACCTCTTCTAAATTCTTCCCCTTGGTTTTCTCAGGGAGGGCTCACAGGTTGGTGTGCTTGGAGTAAGGAGAGCTACCAGCATCAATGAGGATTGGAGTCAGGGATTACTTGAGAGAATTCTGCTTATTCCACAGGACCACATGGGCTGCTTTTCCTAGTTTGCTGAGAGTCCTTGAAGGGCCACTCTCTGCCACCTGTGAAAGGTGATGGAGATAGCTTACAGAAGGAACTGATGACTGGAGAAATGCTGCAGCCACAATTAGCAAAGGGCAGAAACAACTAATGGGGAAATGACTTCTCTCATTTTGCGTGATGTGAATTGTAGTCACAGAATAATCTGAGCAGGGCCAGGATTTAGTGAGATTCATAGCTTACTTTGTGAATGTAAAGTCAGGTCTGACAGATCCAAAGGGAATATAACAAAAATGTGCATATTTTATTTACTTCTAACTGAGCAATTGCATCACTTTTGTGTTCATTCTTTTTAAGGTGTTGGATCCAGAGCAAAATCACAGTTTCACCGATCACTACTTAAATGTAGCCTTTGATCTGTCCCAAGTCCTTTTTATAGCTACAGCCAACACCACAGCTACTATCCCACCTGCTCTGCTGGACAGAATGGAAATCATTCAAGTTCCAGGTAACACTGCAGTGTTTTCATTATTGCACATCCTTAAGCAATTCTGGGGTGTTGTCTCTGAAATGAAAGGCAGTTCCATAAGGAAAGCCTGCCAGGAATCTGGGGTGCATGGCTAGAGCTGTTAGGAGAATAGGCAGGATGCTTCCCTCCACTGTGGCCTCTGCCAGGAGAATGACATTTAGCACTGCACTTGGGAAAACTCAGTTCCAGGTCTATGGAGAGACATTGATACATCCTGGAACAGTATTTTCATCGATTGATTTCTTTGAATTCTGACTGGCTGTTGACTAGTGCATCTTTAAGATTCCAGTGAAGAAAAGGGATCCTGGAAACACTACAATTGTTCACATGAAGTTAGGAATAACCACAAGGGTCATAACAACAGCCTTTTAAATTATAGCTGGGTTTGGTGGTTTTCTTCTTGTTAAATGTAATCAGGTAGAGCTATCAGAAGTAAGAAATCTGATTACATTGTAGTGTAGGATTAATAAATACATGCTTTGTATTGAAGGGTACACACAAGAAGAAAAAATTGAAATTGCACATAGACATTTGATTCCTAAACAGCTTGAACAACATGGCCTGACCCCTCAGCAAATACAGATTCCCCAAGTTACCACCTTGGACATAATTACCAGGTAAGTCTCATTGCTTTCAGTTGAAATAACTTCTCTTTTTTTTGTAACTAGGAAATCAATTTATGAAGTGATAAAACAAAGCATTGCTGAAGATCTGTTGTCCTTAATAGCTCCAGAAGTTCAACAGTTGGTAATTTATGGACTTGCTCTTTGTTGAGCTCTGTCTGGCTCTGCTGTCTGAACCAGATCATCCTTCCTCACCTAGAGAATTCCTTCCTCTGCCTCTCCAGGTGTGGCTTACCTGGAGTTGTGTCAGTTGTGTGGGCACAACTGGCAGGGCCCTATGAATAGACAGGAGCACTTGAGGCAAAGTGTTGCTGCAGTGTGTGAAGCCAACACGTATTTTAAAAAGTTTTATTTCTGTCATATTCATACCAAAAAATGGTGATTACCTTTTTTTTTTTTTTTATTCCCCCTTTGACTTGATGGGCCACATTTTTCTAAAATTTGTAATTAGGTTAAAAGATTTAAAATGTGGATTTTAAATAGTTTTTCTTCATTAGAATTTTTTTTTGGGGTTGGGAGCAAAGATATTGATCAGAATATTTTCTGAACTTGAAATTAGCTAATTTACAATGGAAAAAGTGTCTCAGGGTTCAATGAATGGAAGTATTTTATGACCAGAAATAGCATTTTGGCTGCTTTGTTTAGTGAGTGTTATCTGGTGTTTCTCTTTAATTCATACACTAAAAGAAAATATCCTTTTGCAGTCAGTTCCTCAACTTTCAGTGAATTATATGTTTAAGCCTTAAAATAGTTCTTCCCTTTAATTTTTATGCATCTAAGAGGAGCTCAGTGCCACTGAAGCATGGATTAGCATTTCCTGAAGGTTTGACACCAGCTGTTAGTCATGTCTTCTTCCCACTCAGTAGTTTTTTCCCTCCAATTTTATCAGCAGCAACTACAATTCTTTTGATAAAAGCAAATAGTCTTTTCCTGTTTATTAGAGCAGCCCAAGGTTTCGCTGCCTTTCACATCTCCTTTGATTTGGATGTGTTTTTAATAAGAAAGTGTGTTTCCAGTCAGAAGAAGTCTCTCCTAAAGGAGTGTCCTCTCTTTGTGTGTGCTCCAGGTACACCAGGGAGGCAGGAGTGCGCTCGCTGGATCGGAGATTGGGAGCTATCTGCAGAGCAGTGGCTGTCAAAGTGGCAGAAGGACAGCACAAAGAGCCCAAGCCAGACCGTGCTGAAGTGGGGGAAGGAGAAGGTGTGTGTCTTTTGCATGTTTTATTATAAAGGAAACTCGTAGCATAGTCACTAGGAAGTTGATTCATCCACTGTTTCTCCCTTTCCATGCCTCTTTAAGGGCTCTGCTTTCAAAAGCATTGCAGACAGTGTGGCATTATGATTATGCATGGTTTGAGTAGTGCTGAGTTATGACTTGGGACTTGAGTGATTTCAGCCTGCCAAGTTGGTAATTGAGAAGTACAATGGATCTGTTTCATATCTTAGGGATGCAGTTAGGATTTGTGTATGTTTTTATGTCTTTCTAGGCTTTTTTATGCAAATCTTTGACTTCTTTTCTTTAGTAAAAAATTAAGCATGGGTTTAGCTATTGTATTTAATGAGGTTCTTTAACTGTGCTGTGCATACTCTACTAGCTCAGAACTCAATCTAGTCATTTTTGTTGTACTCTGAAATGAATGTCTGCTTGAAGAGCTTTGAAATTAGAAAGGTTTGGGGGCTCTTTTTATGTGCCTTCTTAGACTACCCTTATTGGAAGTTTCTTTGGAGCTTTAGTAACTTATCAACCTCAGTAAGTCTGTTCTTGTTTCTCACGAATACAGACAGAAGTGTTTTATCATTCCCCACAGACTGAATGAAAGCTAGACATAAAATTCTCAAACAGCAAAATACCCAGGTAACTGCTTCACCAGTAAAGGTTAGACCTCTTTGTAGTCTTGAAATAGAAGTGGGGAAGGAAGAAATCAGGCCCATAATCCAGTTCATGTGCAACATGAACTGGTGACTGTTCCCTTTGTCATCCCCACGAGTGTTCTCTTTAATAAACCTGAACATCCATTCTGTGTTTGGTGAAAAGTATGATGGAGGACATAGGTGGTTGTGCTTTTATTGCAGCTGGTTGCTGATGGAGGATGTTGCTGTACACACCAATTTTCTGTTGGAAAATCCTTGCAGCACTGGATGTGTGCAGGACCCTCAGTCTAAGGTAGATGAGAAATGTGAAAGGACAAAGTTCAAACCCGAAGTTGAACTTGTAAGATATGGCTAGCTCTTAGTCTCAGTAAAAATCTAGCAAGCAGAGTGTTGGGGGCTTCACTTGTTTGTTTTCAAAAGACTGAAATAAGCCCAGTTGACACTGTCTGATAACAAATCCTGCCAGTCTGTCAGAGGACAACTGTGTGTCAGAGGACCCCAGAAAGCACAGGCTGCACAACAGCTGCTTGCTTTTGCTCCAGGGTACTCACAAACCTAAAATACTAACCAGAGCTCTGTTGGTTTGATCTGGTGAAATAGTCCACAATTTAATTCATCTGGAAAAAAGCTTTAGGTTCTGACATTTGTACAGCTAGAATAGTTCTGGTCTGGATTAGAGGAGGACAAATAAGAAGACTCATTATCTGGTCCTTTAAATCAAAGCAGTGTGCATGGTGCTCAGTCCTTTCAGAGAGTAAATCCTGGGGGAGGAAATATAATTGATACCTGTGTAAGCACTGGTATTAAAGGTATTTGAAGAAGTGTTGTACCCATAGTAAAAACTTGGGTAATTTGTCTCTGAAAATCTGTTTAACAGTCTTGCAGCTTTCCCTTGCCTTTTTCCTAGCTCAGTATTTCCCTTCTGAAAATGAAATCTTCTACCTTGCTGAGTTTCCTAAGATCACCACAATGCTTGGAAGCTGTAGGAGCAGAAAACTGGATTTGACCCTCTTTGCTTAAGTGGATTCAACTCAAGTTTCCCCAGAATGTTTGACTCAAAGACACTGAACTCTCACAGCAGCAGTGGCTGTGAATGCTTGAATGACCCTGCAGTTAGTTTGTCCCATCTACATTAAAAGGAAGAGCAGGAAGAGCTTTTAAGACATTTATTAATGCTTTATATGATGTGCATCTTCTCTACCTTCTTGTGAACTTCAGCACTAAGTTTGTTGATACCTGGACTTGCTCTTGAACCTGAACACTGAACCTTTGGGCTGTGTCTGGCTCACCAGCACCAGGCACTATCAGCTGCCTTTCCTACTGGCACTTTTTGGATGATAATTTTGACAAGTCATGTTTGCACTATGTTTAAATATTTGCACTATGTCTAAATGTGCTTTAAAGGTCTAATGCAATTGCTGACTGAAAAAAGTTATTCTGCTCTTCCAGCCTTCTGATAAAAGAAATGAAAGGTAGGTTCAGAGCACAACTGGGGATCCTTTGTGGAGAAACATTTCATTATTAGGGCAGATAACAAAAAGGAGCTGTATTAGACATCTCAACCCAGTGAGACAGGTATTTACCATGTTAAAATTAGCACTGGACTTGCAACGTAGGTATTTACAGTGGTAAAATTATACACTGGTAAAATTAGTACTGAACTTGCAACTTAGCAAAGCTAAGTGAAAATAGCAAGCTGAGTGATTCAAAAGAGGGCAGAAAGCACTTTTGGTTGACACACTGGAGTAAACCCAGAGAAATGAGCTGTGCAGAGTTGCCTTGGTAGTTCTGGAGTGGAAACTGTCCCTAAGGAAAAGCTGTGTTGGTAAAAGGGAGTCTGAGGGACAGGTGGCTCTGAGTTAAACTCTGCTATCATAAAGACTTGTATAGAATGGTGCAGTCTGCAAAGTGTGTTTTATTTTGTACCAATAACATTCTGCTGTAATAATACCCTGCTGTGTTTTTAGCAGAGTGCATCACTTGTTGGGAGTGTATGAGAGTAGGACCCTTTGAAAAATATTTTTGTTCAGTTTTCATTCGTTCTGTTGGAGACAAGCAAGTATTTGAAGCAAAGCTTGTGGAAATATCTCCAAATACTTGCAAGCTGATGCAGATAATGGGATTGGTAGCTTAAATTTATTTTGCTGGAATTTTTTTCTTCTGTGTGCAGTTGTGCATCGTGATGAGGAGTTTTTATTCCATCTAGTGAATGACAGTGGAAGAATAGTTAATCAAGTTGTCTCTTCATGGTTTCATTTAGAATTATGTCTTGAAATTTTTTTTTCTCTATCTGGATAAAAAGACCTATAATTCCTTTTTGCTTTACACATTTGTCAGTTGCTGGAGTGGGATTGGGACTCTACAGTTAGGTCTGGAGTTGTGCATAGGAGAGGCTAAAGCACAGTCTGTATCCAATTCCTAGCACATCCAGGAGTGTTGTGCCTGTTGTGTTTGTCCAGCTGAGTGGGTTGTAGTAAAAGCTGAAAGACATTAGGTGGTAGAACCACAAAATTTCCATCATTACATTGATTAAATGATGCAATTAACTCCAAGTGGGGCTCCTGTTTTCAAGGCTGCTGCTCAGGGGTTTGACACTGTTTGTGGTGGGCTCTAAAAACAGAAGGTACCTGCCATAGCAGAGCTGCCACCAGGAGATGTGCTGTCAGGCTGTGTTTAGCACTTTGCAAAAATGCATGACTGAAATACACTGGCAGCTTTGTGTTGCCTTCCATGCTCCTTTGACTCCTGAGCTTCCCAAAGAAGTTGGCAAGTGGGGAGTGTTAGTTTGCGTCAGTCGTCGAGTTTGTACAGTGAACTTCAGCAAAGGCAAACGGAGTCATTTTTCAAACCTCTCCAGGGAGTCATCCCTGTGTACAGTAATGCTATCTGATATTTCACTGAAACACTAGCTAAGATTTATGAGACACTTGTTGAGTCTTTTGACACTGGAAGAAATTCTAGGAGTCACAAAAATATGTGAAACTCTCCTTCCCATTTTAGTGCAACTGCCTTGAGAACACAATGCAGCAACTGTGCACTAAGGCATCATATCATGATCCAGAGGTTGAAACTCAGAGAGAAAAATGATTTGTCTAATGCAGAGCTGAAAGGAGATTTAGGACAGGTAATATTTAATAACTAGAAGTGATTAAATGTGGATTCCATCTCTGTCAAAACCAAGGCTTTGAAAATGCTGAAATATTTCCATAACCCTGTGGAACAATGCAGTTTGTTCTTCTCCTTGTGGATGAAACAACACTTAGTTTTGAGTTTAAATGCAGGTTTGACTGAAGTGGTCAACATGAAGTGATACATGAAGTCTTTGCTCTCAACCTGGGTTTAAGATTTGTGTTGCCAGTGCTTAATTGAAATCTGTTTTCTGAGGAGATGAGAATTTGCTACATGTTGAGGAGGTTTTAGCTCTTGTATTCTCTCCCTTCTATCATATCTCTAGTGGAAAGTAGCAGTCTTAGACTTTTTTAAATCTTTGTGCCATGGAATTCCCTTTGAAATTAAATCTCTAATTATACAGACTAGTTCATTGTCAGTATGTTTTCTTAGGAGTTCACTTGTTTACAAGTGTAACATGTGAGATTTGGTTTGATTTGGGGAAATTGCAAAGGCAGATCCCTGAGGAACATTGTCCTGAGCTTTGAGTAGCTGCAGATTCTGCTTGGAAAAATGTACAAACATAATTAATTCTTTTTTTTTGTTACTTGGGGAGGCTTTTTGTTGTTGTTTATGCTTAGTTTTTGCAGTTCTTAAATGTTGAAACACCTCAGTACCTTCTGCTTTTGTTTAAGCAGTGGAGTACAAGCAGAGGTGGTTCCTCTAGTGCAGTGTGGAACTCTGTTAAGAAAACTTCTTTGGCTTTGCAGCTTATTTGTCCAACTTCTCTCAAATGTAAGATGATTAAGCTGATGTCCTAACCACAAGTCCTGTTTCTGGAAACTCAAATATAACTGTCTTGTTTTAGATAAATGTGTCATTTAACTTCATGGTTTCTGGCTGTTCTTCTGGGGTAGGTAGGGAACATGCATTTGTCATCATTAATGGAAATCTTAATTACTTGTGTCTGTGTAGATTCTTCATAGTCAGTACTTGGTTAAAGATGATAAAAGATGTTTTTTCCTTTAGAGAAGAAGTTAGCATTTGTAATTATGTGTTGGGACATCACTGTGTGCATAGAATATGTGTGGTTAGAAAATGAGATGATGTCAGGATTGAGGTTAATATTTTTAGAAAAAGTCTGGAGTTTGTTATTGTTTGCAGATGATAAAATGGGATCTACTAATTACATTAGATAAACTCAGTTTCTGATTCTTTTGACAGGGCGAGTGGCCTCAAATTCCCTACTGACTTGTTCAGGAGAAGTCACTCTTCAGCTGTATACACACAGCTAGGTGAAATAAGAGCAGTTATGTTTGTTAGGCAGTAAAATCTGCTGCTTAAACTCAGTTTTGTTTCAAAACATGTATTGCATATCACATTACTCAGGTTTTGAAGATCTGCAGTGCTGCAATCGCAGTCGGAGTTGCAAGAATAGCATTCAGGGTTATGTTTCCTAGACTTGCCAGTGTTTATGTCTTTGAATTTATGATGTGTAAAAATAGTAGTTTAACAAAAATACAGAGACAAGCTGGAACAACAGGAGGGCCATCTGACTAGGGCAGTGTTTACAGTAAAGAATGGGATTTGTGCAGTGGTACAATGGAAAGATTAGTGGCTGTTGGATAACAACTGTTAGCTCTGAGTCCTGAATGAAAGCTGAGTTGCTGCTGTTATGGGAATAGTGATGTAAAATGTTTTCCTTGATGCTGCATTAATGAGAGTTGCCCTGCTGCAAAACCACCTGTAAAAAGGCCTTTATGTATCAGGATTAATGGCAGGATAGTTTGTGTCTTCTGAAAGGAGATGTTCTCCTTCATCCCTCTGAGAATTTTGCAGCACTGAGCACCTCTGAATGTTCTAGTAAATAGGTTGAATCAGTGATTTGTGTTTTTCTACAGTTGTTTAAACTCCTGGATTTTCAATTATTGTGCCTGCATTAATATGTAAAGGAAGAGAGTTTCTTATTTCGAAGAAGGAAGAAACTGAAATTTTCTTTTCAAACTGAAATTGAATTCACAGGAAGGAAGCAACATTTACTTGGGTAACTTCCCAGAATATGGTGCAGGAGTCCTGAAGCTTGGTATCCATTCCTGTGTAATACAGACTATACACTTTAAATGTGTATTAGGTTTGTGTGTTTGGGCTGGGAAGAAACATCTTCACTAGAAGGATGTGCACAATGCTTTTCTGAGTGGGAGCCCCAGGGCAGGGAGGCACTGCCCTGAGACTGCTACAGAACCTTAAAACATCTGCAGTGCTCAAGTATTTTTCATTTCTCTGGTACATGTTTCACTAAAATATTGCTTGGGGCTCTCAAGAAAATGGTAACGAGCCTTTTGCATCTGGATCAAATTCTGTGGGAGATGACTCCCTGCTTGCATTCTCCCTCTGTCACTTCACTCAGACATCATTTGTTGGAGGCCCAGACTGAGCACTAAGTCCTTGAGCTTACTCCTGCAAACAACTGGTTTGGAGACTTTGATATTTACATGGTTCCCATTACAGTTCACTTTTGTCTAGAAAACATATTTGTAGGCAAAAGAGAAATTTTAAGGCAATTCTGCTAAGGAAACCGTAGGTAAGGAATAGAATCATGCTATGAATCATAGAATCACAGAATTTAGGGGTTGGAATGGACCTTACAGATCATCCAGCCCCAACCCCTGCCCTGGGCAGGGACACCTCCTCACTAGCTCAGGTTGCTCAAGGCTCATCCAGCCTGGATTGAACACC